GGCTGTTGTAGAATTTTAAATTGTTTGTTTTTATTTTATTTTTGTATCCCCTCCCTTTTTATTGTAAGCCGCCCTGAGTCTCTCGGGAATAGGGCAGCATACAAACCTAATAAATGAATGAATGAATGAATAGTGCTTTACAGCCCTCTCTAAGCAGTTTACAGACTCAACATATTTCCCCCCAACAATCTGGGTCCTCATTTTACCGACCTCAGAAGGATGGAAGGCTGAGTTCAACCTTGAACCAATCAGGGTCAAACTCCTGGCAGTGAACAGAGTTGCCTGCAATACTGCATCCTGACCACTGTGCCACCAACTGTCTATTGGCTGAGATGAACCAGCATCCAAAACTAGGGACTCAAACATGATCTTTTGCTCGGAAACTCATGCCTCCTGAAGAGTGGTCAAGTGGAAGCATGCACAGTCAATCCAACATGCAGGCATCTTCTCATGCTCCACAGAGCTCCCCACGTGTCAGCCGAGATGGCAAGGAAAACTTGTGATGGATGTCAGTGAAGACAGGATGAGACAGAAGGGTGGATGCAGCCACTGACTGGGCCGTGAAGGGGTCTATCTCTGCTCTACCCAACCCGGTCCCCCCCATGGCTTCTGGGGGGTGGGTGGGCAGAGGGAAGAATCTGATTAGCTATGGAAACATCAGCAGAACATGCATTTAAGTGCACTGCAACCTCCGAGAAGTAGCATTGTTGAACCGGTGGGTGATTGGATTACCTACATGGCAGGGACCCTGGAACCTGGTGCATTTCAGTTATCCCATGAAGCCTGCTCAATTACCGACTGTTATCCGAAGCGAAGAACAAAAGAACAAAAAACAAGAAAGACATAAATCCTATTGTGGGCCACAATACAAGCAGCTTCCTTCCCACGCCTTTAAGGAGGAGGCCAAGATTGAATGGCTCCATAAATCAACAAATCCATTTTAAAAAAAGAAACCCATAATAGTTAAAAACACAGATCAGTAATAAAGAGAAGCTGCACTGGAAGGAATTAAAACTAGATCTTCCAGTGCAAGAAGTGGTACACAGAGAGAGGCACAGGATATCAACAAAACCAATGTGAACTTAATAAACGATAGAATGCCTTTCTCGAATCTGTGGGTGCTTTCTGTGAATTTTTCTGGGGTTCAAATGCTTACAAAAAGGGTGGCTTTAGCTCAGGGTTGGCGTTCTTTTCCTAATAAATGCCACATGTATGCCAATATGCAAGGAGAGATGAGTGGACCAGAACTGGCTAAGGAACTAAAGGATGAAGAGGTCCCACTCTTGTGGACTATTGGAAACTATGTTCCCTTAAAGCAATGTTTGTCAAACTTGCCAACTTTAAGACAAGTGGACCTCCACATGCCAGTCTGGGGAATCCTGGGAGTTGAAATCCACAAATCTTAAAGTTGCAAAGTTTGGGAAACTATGTCCTAAGATCTCAGGCTTTAAATGTGCTGCGCATATCTCAAAGCACGAAAGAACGAATGTTCTCCTTGTCTACATGTTCTCAGCACACTTATGAAAGGCAGTGGCTTCTGCTTTCTTCTGGGTTGGCTTCTCAAGCTATCCCAAAGCCGTGGAATTCTCAGGTGGGTTCCCCCATCCAAGAATCCTCCAGGGCCTTCCCAGCTTAGCCAACAGCTAGCTTTGGTCGGATGTTGCTACTTGTTGAGGCAGAATCAACCATTGATAGGACAACTAAAGTGTTGCACGTCTAAGCGTGTTTTCCAGGGAAAATGGAAAGACCACATCAACTCACCTTTGACCTGATATTTCTTAGTTGCCGGCCAATGCTGGTCCTGTCCTTCTTCAAGAAATCAGGATTGCTTTTCGATTTCATAATATCTAAGTGGGTAAGAAGGAAAGGAAGTCAATATAACTCTTTTGAAAACCTCCAGGCCATAGTTTTTCAAACAAGCAAAGTTAAAAGAAAGTGACTATCGGCTTCCTTCCCATCAAGGCAACGAATACTCCAAAATACTTTTCCCACCCTCAAGAAATCCAATTTTACCACTAATTCTAATGCTAGGTTCCTTGAACCCACCAAGTCCAACTCAATATTAGAGCCGAGGTGGCGTAGTGGTTAGAGTGCAGCACTGCAGGCCACTTCAGCTGACTGTTATCTGCAGTTCGGCAGTTCAAATCTCACCAGCTTAAGGTTGACTCAGCCTTCCATCCTTCCGAGGTGGGTGAAATGAGGACCCGGATTGTTGTTGGGGGCGATATGCTGACTCTGTAAACCGCTTAGAGAGGGCTGAAAGCCCTATGAAGCGGTATATAAGTCTAACTGCTATTGCTATTGCTATTGCTAAGGTTGACTCAGCCTTCCATCCTTCCGAGGTGGGTGAAATGAGGACCCGGATTGTTGTTGGGGGCGATATGCTGACTCTGTAAACCGCTTAGAGAGGGCTGAAAGCCCTATGAAGCGGTATATAAGTCTAACTGCTATTGCTATTGCTATTGCTAAGGTTGACTCAGCCTTCCATCCTTCCGAGGTGGGTGAAATGAGGACCCNGCTTGGCTTTCAGCCACCGAGGTTTTGGTTTCTTGCTATTAAAGTACATTCCAGTTAAGCTTGTCTCGGCAGTCGTTACTGGACGGAGGAGGGGGTCAGAACACTAACTTATCAACGGCAACATCTTCAGTAGCAGCGCACATTCTCCTTCCACCCAACTCAAAGGACTTCTTCTGCCTCTTTGAGGGAAAACCCACCTGAAGAATGAAAGAGCTCCTCATGTTTTCAGGGAGGTTGTCCAACATTTCGGTGTAACAGCGCATCAAGCTCAAAAGCCAGAAACTGGCCGAAGAAGATTCCTCTTCCGTGGTGTAGGTGAAGGGATCCACCATATAGATGACCACAGCCGGTGGGTAGGCATGGCTATCCGCAGACTCGGGTTCCGTGGGGATTCCTATCCTCTCCCTCTCTGCAGAGCTACAAAACAAAACCAAACAAAAACAGCGATTTATGTCAAGTGCAAGAAACCCAGGCAGTTCAAATGAAATGTAAAGGTTCGTTGCAAGCTTAAGGACTCTACAAGAATCTGAGCTACTAACGGTCAAAGCAAATTAGTGGCAGGCAAGAGTCAGCGGAGCTCAAGGTCTCTTGTTGGGCGCAAAGGGACTCGAGACTGATGACGCATTTGAGCCCCTCCCTCAGTATCATGGTGACATGACAGCAGTCTTCCAATATTTAAGGGGCTGCCACAAAGAAGAGAGGGTCAACCTATTCTCCAAAGCACCAGAAGGTGACAAGAAGGAATGGATGGAAACTAATCAAGGAGAGAAGCAATTTCTTGACAGTGAGAACAAATTAATCAATGAAATGACTTGCATCCATGAAGTTGTAGGCATTCCAACACTGGAGGTTTTCAAGGGGAGACTGGACAGCCATTTGTCTGAAATGCTACAGGGTTTCCTGACTAAGCAGGGGGTTGGACTAGAGGACCTCCAAGGTCTCTCCCATCTCTGTTATTCTCTTTTTATGTCATCTGGTACAATTCAAAAGTTCATCGTGATTGTTTTTTTTTATTAAGTTACAACTCATGTGCTTAAAGTTTCCTCTGCCGGTAGTTTTCATTATCTTAAAAAAGATAATTTTAAATATCTTTAAAAAAGATCCCTTTTCCCCTGGGTTCTCACAGGACCAGATATGGGAAATACCCAAGTCCAGGACGTATTCTGGAATTGCTGACAGATTGGGACCACAGATCGCTCCCTTGTCACTCTCTCCATAACCCAAAATGTCTACTTTTTTTGAGCCTTCCTTTTATTTATCATGCGAATCCAAGGGGGAAAAAAATGTATCTCCTTTAAGCAATGGTTGAGCAACCTGTGCCAGATCCAAAGCTTCCTTGTTCATTTTGGATCCAAATACTTACCGTATTTCAAGGGTTGACCACCACAATGGGAATAGGTGGCCATGGGACAACTGAGCTTTGTTTCAAAAAGATATATATCATTAAAAACGCATCATCTGAGTATTAATTATTATCTTGGCATATCCCTAAGCCTGGATTGAAAAGAGGGCACAGGCTAACACCCAGCACAAAGATTAAGCACCCTTGCTGAAATTAATAAACTTGTGTCTCTGTATTATAGAATTATCCGGTAATTAACTCTAACCAGTGCCAGTAACCAAGTTTTGCTGTTACATTTACAAGACCAGCAGGGGGCAGCATGCGGCTGAATATTATTATTATTTTTTGATTGAAACTCATCACAATACCTCCAGTTTTATGTCTCTGGGGTTCAAACACTCTACCAAAAACTAATTTCATGGACCGTTACATTTTAGGTGACTGTACAGGTAGTCCTTAGCTTAGAATTGACCTCAATTTTCCTGGTTGCTAAGTGAGTTTTGCTCCTGTTTTGCGGCCTTCTTGCCGTGGTTGTTAAGCGGATCGCTCAGTTAAGCGAACCGCATGGTCGTTAAGCAAATCTGGCTTCCCCTGTTGACTTTGCTTGTTAGAAGCCGGCTGGGAAGGCTACAAACGGCGACCCTGGGACACCGCAACCATCATAGGTACATGCCAGTTGCCAAGAGCCCGAATTTTGATCACGTGACCATGGGGATGGTTGCCAACGGTCGTTCATCATGAACACCGGTCATAAGTCACCTTTTTTGCATTTTAATTTCGAGTGTCACTAAACAAATGGTTGTAAGTCAAGGACTCCAGCGTCTACAGCAGTGTTTCTCAACCTTGGTGACTTTAAGTCCTGTGGACTTCAACTCCCAGAATTCCCCAGCCAGCTGGCTGGGGA